AACCTCGGAACACCCCGATGAGGAGGTGGAGGAAATATATGAGAATATCTCTAGAGCCATGCATTCCTCCAAAACCCAATATACGGTGTTAATGGGAGACTTTAATGCAAAACTAGGCACAAGAGAGAACGGTGAGCTGAAAGTAGGGAAATTTGGAATAGGGCAACGGAAACCAAGGGGCTAGCAGCTGGCCGACTTCATGGAGAAAGAGGGATTCTATATGATGAACTCTTTCTTCCAGAAGCGGCCCCACAGGAAGTGGACCTGGTCGAGCCCCGACGGTTCCACAAAAAATGAGATTGACTTCATTATGACGACCAGACGACAACTGTTCAGTGATGTCTCCGTGATCGCGAGAGTGAAAACTGGTAGCGACCACCGAATGGTTAGAGGCACACTGAACCTAAACGTTAAGTTTGAGAGGTCACTTCTAATGAAGTCAACGCTCCGTCCCGCTCGTGCTCTAATCCAAAGTCCCGAAACCTTTTAGCTCAAGTTACAAAATCGTTTTCATAGCCTAGAATATTGCAATGTAGTGGACGATATAAATGACAAGCTCGTCGAAACTGTCCATGTGGTCGGAATCACGTTTTGCAAGACCCGCCGCAGAAGAACACAAAAACTCTCCGATCACACTCACTGAGACATCACTGAACAGTTGTCCTCGGGTCGTCATTATGAAGTCAATCTCATTTTCTTCGAACCGTCGGGGATCAAGCGGGTCCATTTCCTGTGGGCCCGCTTTTGGAAGAAATGGTTCATCGTAAAGAGTCCCTCTTTTTCATGAAGTCGACCAGCTGCTGGCCCCTTGGGTTCCGTTGCCCTATTCCGAATTTCCCTACTTTTAGCTCACTGTTCTCACTTGTGCCTAGTTTTGCATTGAACTCCTTCATTAACAGCGTAAATTGGGTTTTGGACAAATGCTTGGCTCTTGAGATATCCTCATACAATTCTTCCACCTCCTCAACGGGATGTGCCGAGGTTGGTGCGTAAATGGTTCTGAGTATAGTGTACGCAACTATCGTCGACTTACTCCTTACTTTTACAATGTTTTTAACGAGAGACTTGTGGACGATAAAACCGACACCGCTTGGAACAGATGCTCACCCTTTCGGTGATAGAACAAGTTGCCGGATTCGAGGACTACCGAGTCCTCCCCCTCTTCTCGTTCTTCGGATAATCCTATAATATTCCAGCGCACCTTGTCTATCTCTTCTTCCAGCTACAGGATCTTCTGGTCAGTCCTCAGGTTGCGTGCGTTATTAGTTGCCAGGTCGAGGCGTCGTAGGTGGCAAAGCTCTACCAGAGATTCACCCCTAGCACTCCTTACCCCGCCATTGTCATGGTCTTGGCCGCCGGGGACTGGGGTCCATTTATTGATGTCATTGGTCATGGGGGGTATATTGTCATAGTTGCTACGCTTGGCGAGCGGGTTGGCAACCGCAGTTTTTTATTGCTTTTTGCTGTTATCAGAAAGATGCTGCTGCCCATCTTCTGCCTCAGTTTCCCTCTGTCGCCTTTTACGGCACCCAACCACTTCCACTCGTGGGAGTGATGCGAGGGGCTGCTGTGTGATCGTGCAGTACCTAGCGCTCGGCTGGCAGTTCACATGCTGTTGCGTCCAGCGCCAGCTCCAGACGCGCCCTGGCGACCTCTAGGCAACGGCCCTTTGCGCGTTCTTCTGTTTTCCATCATCCATTTAATGGGTTTCTGTTAACAGGAGACGCCCAGACCTTGCACCGTTTCATAGTGAGGCCATGTGCACAAGCGGGCCATTGCACCCTCACGCCGACGCACGGCGCTAACACCCCTTGGCAAGGTTCTGACTGACTCCGCTGACGTAGTAGTTTTGTCACATAACCGTTAGGTCAGCGGGCGATGAGGTTGTGCCACTTCACTACGCCAAATATTCTTGCGAATAAGCCTGATATTGTGCTGATGAACCAGGCACAGTCAGGGATATTTTTTGGTCGACATAATTATTCCATATGACGAGAACCTCGTGAAAGCCAAAACAGAGAAGCAAACTAAATATACCTGGTTCACGAGGTGACCGCCGTGTGGGGTGGACTACCGACCGAAATTATACCTATAGTGGTGGTAGAGTTTAACCTGTTCTGCGAACGGGTTAAACTCAGTCAGCCTCTGGGGTCATCCGAAGCGACTGGGACTCCATGACGGACCGCATCACAGCGGCGTCCGCCGATTACTTTCCCTTCCCTCCTATGCTATTCAGGAAGCACGAATAGAACGACTGGCAGTATCCTTTAAAAAGAGTTATTAATATAATGGCACTACTGCATCGTGCAAACTTACGGGCCAACATATTACTCCAGGTAGCTAAAGCCCTACGCTCCCTCTCTATGTCCGTTTCATTACACAAATCCTCGGACACGTAGTGTCCCAAGTATTGAAAAGGTGATAACCTGGATAAAGTAGTGTTAAAGAGTCTGATAGATGGTATGTGCGTCGGACTCTTATTATTAGCTTTAAACAACACAAACTCACTATTCTTTATGTTATAAACAAGACCGTGTTCACTTGCATAAGCTTCGCAGATTCTCAGAAGCTTTTTGAGCGCGCTTACCGAGGAACTCAGCAACAACATGTCGTCGGCGTAACTTAGATTGTTAATACACTTTCCATCCACATGGCAACCGACCTGAGTGCTGCTGAGTCCCTCGAGCAGCTCATTTGTATACAAGGTAAACAGTTGAGATGAACTAATTTTACATTAAAATGAAATTTCACCTTAAGGATGGATAATTTTTCCATTTTATATCATTAAGACCACTTTGGATGTAAAACTCATTAATTTAAAAAAAATATCATTAAACTCGGCTCGCAAGTAGCAAAGAAACCGCCTTCTCCTTTTCTTGAGGTTGACAAATCAAGAATTAAAAAAGCTATTATTTATTTTACTTCAAGAAAAGTAAAATAAACTGTAATAAAATATTAATTTAATATAATTTAATTTGTAACAAACAGCATGCCATAAATTAAAATCAAGAAAATCGTTACACAAGGGGATTTTATTTCACAAGGAACCGTAAAATGCCGTAATGCCTTGCAGTAATTGTAGTTTCACTCGAAGCAATTAAGCGAAGCCTGTTTTTTACTTACAAACTTGCTTTAAATGCTAGCAGAGAAATTAAATTGTACAGTTTGGGATATTGTTATTCTGCCATTACACGGTAATCTAAGCATTCGGTGCGATACGAGTATTTTATAAAGAACATATTAGAAATAGAGGTAGAGGAAATGAGAAGAAGAGGTAGTCTAAAAAAGAAATACATAGATCAGTTCAAAGAGAAAGATGATGATGTCACACGGCGAATTAAGGAGATATCCATTGTCCTGATGGTGTCGTAAGAGGCGACGGAGGGAAACAAACCAGGAGATAGGCAACGAACTAGAACTAAAAGACTAGAAATAAAAGAGGACTAAAAATAAAAATAAAAACTACGGTTGCCAACCCGCTTGCTAAGCCTAACAACTATGGCAAATATAATCCTATGAGGCAATCTATGAGGGAGGCCTGTGTTTAGCAATGAACTCTAATAGTCTGTAACAATAACGGCTTATAACGGTTTAGTTTGCCATGTTTCGTGTTAAAGAGAAATAAATTAGAATATTTTCAAACACGGTTGATTTTCATTCGCAATACGATTCAATACTTCGTCAAGAAATCGCCGTTGGTTTAAAAAACAATGCTAAAACCGATCCCATAAATTTGCATGAAAAACGCGCGCCGCACCGAGGGACATTACTTTTTATAAAAATATGACGACCTTACCCTTATGGAGTTTCCAGGTTCATTTCCATAAATTATAAATAACGATCGTGAACGTAGTGAGTGATCCGATTGGGTATCGAATGTTATTGGACTGAAAATATTTCATCGTTAATATTCATCGCTTTCGTGGCGAGCCATAATGTTGGTTGGGGTTTTATTATATTTAAAAGGATTTTACGAATATAGTCATAAAGTTGGCACAAAAAAGTAATAAAAATTTTAAAATTTATATGCTAAGATCGGTGTGGAAATAAAACTGCATTCTACCTACTTTGAAGAATCTAATAGTAGAGCCTATCTGAAGATATATTACTTATATGCTGCAGCTATATTAATAGTATAGTTGTAGCACGAATGGGTCGGCTCGACCGGGGAAGGATTACACTCTCACAGAATACCAGCGTAAAATAACAGCTTAATGCTGCTGAGTTTCGTATGGTAAGTGTAGACCGGAGACCCTTTTTACTGGAAAAGAGGTATTCCATCTTAGTCCTCACGGGTTGTCACCCGCCAATTTATTTGTGAGAAGACCATTGGGTTATTTAATAAGTATAAAATTCCTAACGTTTTCTCACACCTAAATATACTCCTCAGGTTAATTTGGTGGAACGCTATAATAAAACTATTGTCACCTGTATATCGACATTTGTGAAAGAAGATCAGCGTTCTTGGGATGTATATTTGCCTAAAATACTGTTTGCAATAAACAACTCCGTTAATGAGGTTACTGGTTACTTCTGCATTTTTATCTATGGACCACAGCAACCACTTACTATCAGGTGGACTATGTGCTCGTTGGTCACCCTATCCTATAAAAAAAACTAGAAACATTTGCTTTTCCATTCAGAAGCGTAACAGTACTATTATTATTTTAAATACTTCTAACTTTTCCGGCACAATTAGTTGCAGACTATTAACCCAGTTGTTACTGAAACTTTTTTTTACCTCGAATTACAGTAATTTTTTAATATGGTTACCTTGATGCATATAGTAAACATGGAAAAATACCAAAAAAATACCGAGCTTTCAGGAAAGCTCGGAAAATGCGGATCGTTTTAACGATCAGTAGTAATAGGCAAGTAGGTTAACGCTCATAATAACTACCACTTTATCGATTTTATCCAATTTTAAATTAAAGAAACACAGTTATTACTATGAAAAAGGCTTTATTATCTAATTGAAAATTTTTAATTAACAAACAATTCTACCTATGTGGAGTATGGTAAGTAGCAAAACATGTTTTAGGGTGCAAATGGATTTTACATTTTTGACAAGTGAAGTTTGTGTTTTTTTTGCAAAGTGAACATCGAAGCTGAGAGTCATTGTACTCTACTAGATGATCAACTGTATCATAGCGTGAAATTTCCCTGTAAGTTCTAGAAGTGGGACAAGGACAGCGTTTCTCATTTTTTTTATATGTTTCCAAGATTCCTCTAGCGATAGTTCTCCGTAATGTGAGATGATCGTACTCTCCTCCATTATTTTTATAAAGATGCCACGCATTGTGTGTCGCCATGTCCAAGCAGTGAGAAAACAATGTGAAATACCATTTCTTGCCACGGATAGATGTACGATATAGACCGATGTCTTGGTCGGCCCTATCGACTCCCCCCATGTTTTCATAGTAGCTTTTTATAATTGCAGGCTGATCAATGTATACATATTTTTTCTGCTGCTGTGAGAACCGTTTAGCTTTATGTCAGGGTTCAATGTTTTCTGAATTGGATGCTACTGACACCACACTGTTATCATTTCATTTGCAAACCAAAATATGCCCTGGTTGGCTAGACTTATACTTGAATGTGCCTCTTTCTGTCTTCTTGAATTCTTTATTGGACGGCAAAGGACACTTTTTTGTACGGTCCTCACGAATTGTTCCAGTGGCTCTGAGCCCTCTGTTACTCAATTCGTGGAAGAGTGGAATATAAGAAAAGAAATTGTCAAAGAATAAGTGACAAGGCGCACCTGGGTGACGAAATTGTAAATAATCAGCAAAACGTAAAATCACACCAGCTCCCATAACTAACTGCCCATAAGCCGGTGGAATAATTGCTGCATGGTCTTGGTACGGATCAAACCATAGTACGTATCCCAATCTAGTTGCTCCAACCCAGAACTTATATCCTCATCTGATCGGTTTTCCACGTATAAATTGTTTACAGCTGTGTCCTCCATAATAAGGTACCATAGCCTCGTCAATGCTGTAAATTTCTTCTAAAGGAGCCATATTCAGGAATATTTCGTTCAGGATATCGAAAAGCGGTCTCAACTTTGCAAATTTGTCACTTTCAGTAGTTATCTGAGCATTGTCACAACAGTGGAGGTGAGTCATCATAAATGTAAATCTATCCCTCGACATGGCGTTATATATAATACTAAAATCAGCGTCTGTTGATTTCTCCCAGTACATGTATCTTCGGGGAACTACGATATATCCACTGTAAAGAAGTATAGCAAGGAAACACTTCATTTCACTCGTTGTCACATAACCCACTTTGTTTTTTGAATCGCGTAAATATTTGTATATTTGACCAATAATTTGATAACACAGTCATCAAACATACAGTCAAAGTAATACATGGGCGTTTGAAGGTGTCTTGGCACATGGTCTTCTTGCCATTGCGGTCGGTCGTGAGGATTATGGCGATTTCTCCAAGTATAATTTTGATTTTTTGGTACGGTTGGATCAACAAAAGGAACTGCTGACGTGCTGCTAATAACTGGAGCTGAATTAGATGTAGATAGCTCAGGTTGACGACCTTCCACAATCAGGGGTTCTTCGGTGGTTCGACTTCTTTTTGCTAAAGAAGACAAGGATACACTGTCCTCGTCACTGTCGGAACACATGTATTTTATCTCAGCATGAGCTTTTAGCTGAGAACCTAGATAAAAAATTTTAATATATATAGAGGTATATAACAACTGACATGAGAAAATAACGTAAAGATTTAGACGAGATCTATATCAAACCTGGAAGATTGTTCAGAGTTACAAACTCCTCATCACCAGAATCTTCATAGGTGATATCAGCATTCGCGTTATCTGGTGGTAAAATGATTATATCTCTTAAAAGTGGGGCATCATCATCTAATTGTTCCAATTCATCAATGATTTGATTGAGAGACAATGGTTTACTGGTATCCCTAGGTTTGAAAGTCATAAATACATCCCCAAATTACTACCGATCGCTAAAACGATCATCAGTTATAATACCATTTGTTTATTATAAAAGATATGATAAGATCATATTTTATTTCACAGTTTTGTTAGATAGGTTATAAATTTATAAAAAATGTGCATAAGATAAAATTTAAAGTCAAGCTAATTTGTTTTGAAGACATTGTATGCACCGAAACATTGTCAAACGATCACTGCGGCGATTGGTAAACAATAAGCAAGAGTTATTCGTTGGTTGTTATTTTAAAATTGAGGGTATTCCCCATATATTTTTTTGATCTTTATAACGATCGGTCGTTGTAAATGGGTTAAAAGTAAAAAATAAATACTACTCGGCGGTATAAGAATAGTGGGTAACTATCCTAAGCCGTCTCGTGGGTGTCAAAAGAGGCTTCAGAGGGAAATTGAAACAGGATATATATATATATATATATATATATATATATATATATATATATATATATATATATATATATATATAAATATAGGTTGTTATGAATGAATGCTATAAAGGGGTGGTCATTGGCTAGATTGTGTCCAGTGTCCACGAAATGTTTAGTGAAATCAGCTCTGCAATTCCTGGAAATGTTTCGATGAGACATCTGACAAAAGATCTGAGAAAATTGCTAACCATATGTTTTTTTTTAACTATATTTAAAAAATAACTTTTGAGTCCACAAATTGACAAATTGCAATAAAACTCTTGTAAATTATTTTCCATACTTATTGACATATTAAAAATGATCTAGAAACAGTGCAGGCAGTGTCTCAGCCATGTTCGAAAAAGAAAGGTATGACACACCATAACTACGAGGGCACACTGAAATTATCGGGAATAAGAAAAATCACATGCACGGTATAGCTAAATTGTATTTTATTGTTTTTCGAACTATTCTCCGTTGAACTTAATGCACTTTGTCATCCGTGCAAACCAATCGTTAAAACAGTAATTCCAGTCTGAAGTTGATGTTGACAAAATGGCTGATTTGTACGCTTCCACAGCTGCTTCGGGGTCTTCAAACCGTTGACCGCAAAGTAAATCTTTCATTTTAGGGAATGTAAACAAATAGTTTAGGCTCAGGTCAGGAATGTACGGAGGAGGGCTCAACAGCTCAAAGTTTTCCTGCTTCAAAACATCATTTGTCTTCCGAGCCGTATGGGAGCTCGCATTATCGTGATGTAAGATGATGCGACGTTTCGGGTTATTTTTTCGGAATTCGGCTATCATTTCTGGCAAACAAACCGTGATATACCACTCAGCGGTAACCGTTCTGCGTTCCTGTAAAGGAATTGTAGCAACATGCTCTTTCTCGAGATAAACGTAGCGACCATTTTCTTTGACACGCTGCGGGAGCGAAACACTTTCGTTGGTTTAAAAAGTACTTATTAAACCGTACACAAAAAGTTAAAGTAGATCAGTTTATTAGTGAGGACACATATACTACCTACGGTATACCACAAGGAAGTATTTTAGGCCCAACCTTGTTTTTAATTTATATCAATGATCTTTGTAATCTGAAAATTGATGGTGCCCGAGGGTTCACATATGCCGATGATACTGCTGTAGTTTTTACTGGAACATCATGGGATGACATCCGTAAATGTTTTAACTTTAGGTGGTTAACTTTAGCTCAATCGTTATTAACTTACTGCCTTCCGATATGGGGTGAAGCAACAAAAACAAAATTATTCCAATTGGAAAGAGCACAGCGTGCCTTAGTAAAGACAATGTACAGGCACAGGCAAAAAGCCTTATAAATTCCCAACAGAGAGCCTATATTTAAAATCTGATGTACTAAGTGTAAGAAAATTATATATTTTACACACAATATTAAAAAAGCATAAAGATTTGTTTTATGACCCAAATGTTTTACATAAAAGAAGAAAAGACATTGTACTTAACTCTTTTCGTATTCAAACTGCTTTTGCTAGACGTCAGTTCATTAACCAATCTATCTATCTGTATAATTCTGTCAAGAAAAATCTTAATATTTACTGTAGAAATACTAAGGACTGCAAGTTTTTAATTATAAGTTATAAACACAAACACACACACACACACATACACAAACAAACACACACACACACACACACACACACATTACACACCTTAAGGTGCTTAAAAGATGCTCCCCACCTTATGCAAATTGTGAAATGCTTAATGAAATAAAAGATATATTATTATTATTATTATTTGACCTCGTTTTTCAAGACCTAAACTGAACCAAGAACCCAACTTTAAACCAACATTTTTTTAATTGTTTGATGTCATGAAGATTCTAAGAGGCCAGTATTGAAATTCTAAAAAGGTTTTATTGTAATTCAATCCGAAATATTCTTTTCCCGATGATTTCAGTGTGCCCCTCCGTATATTTACATGAACCATTTCGAATCACATTCGAACCCCTCGCAACTTAATATCTATTAGATCTATTTACTTATAAAAAACTACTTGCCAACAGACAACTAATTAACCATTGATTAGGAATTTTTCTTTATTCTACTCACTATTCCTTAGTTTACCCAAACAATTTAACATTTAGTTCCAAGTAAAAGCAGAATTTAAAGAACAAAATTAACGCATAACAGCTTCTGAATTCAGGGCTTAAATTTAAATAAATTATTTTTATAAACTTTGGTCTTAGCACCGACTTTAGAATGTCATCATCATCATCATCATTACAGCCCTTCACAAGTCCACTGCTGAACATAGGCCACAAAGAATGCCACAAAGCACGGTCGTGAGCCACCTGCATCCATCGACTTCCTGCATATCTTACCAGGTCGTCACTCCATCTAGTGGGGGAACGCCCTACACTTTGCCTGTCGGTACGAGGCTGCCACTCGAGAACCTTTCTTCCCCATCGGTTGTCGGTTCTTCGAGCTATATGGCCGGCCCATTGCCACTTCAGCTTACTAATCCGTTGGGCTATGTCGGTCACTCTGGTTCTACTGCGGATATCCTCATTTCTGAGTTTATAACGCAGAGAAACTCCGAGCATAGCCCTCTCCATAGCTCGCTAGCGACCTTGAGATTCCTCATCCGGCCAGCAGTGAAGGACCACGTCTCAGTTCCGTATGTCATCACTGGCAACACGCATTGGGTGTACAATCTCGTTTTCAAGTTTTGAGGTATACCTGACGAGAATATGTGCCGTAACTTCCCGAACGCTGCCCAACCGAGTTGAATCCGTCGATTGACCTCTCGGTCGAAGTTGGACTTACCTAGTCGGACTATTTGTCTCAGGTAAACATACTCGTCAATAACTTCGAGCTTAGTGTTCCCAACAACTACCGGCATAGGTGTGACATGGACATTAAACATGATCTTTGTTTTGTCCATGTTCATCTTAAGACCTATCCGTTGGGAAACACTATTGAGGACATTGAGCATAGTGCTTAGGTCCTCCAGCGATTCTGCCATAAGGACTATATCGT